ACAATATATGAAGTTTATGTAAAGATTTAAGGAAAATAGGTTTGTTTGTTTTAACTCCAAGAACATCACTGGGCTAACTCCATGTGCTTCATGTGGAAAGTAAATGATTACCTTAACTGAGGGTCGAATCCTTGGGAACGTGGGGGTTTAAGTCATAGCACTAGCAATCATAATAATCAAATTTAAAGTCTTTTAAAGCATATTATTATGTATAAGCAATGCATAAGTAATACAATAATATTTGCTCAAGAAAAAAATTACATCTCCAGTCTGTCCTGCGTGGTGAACAATGAATAGCTCTAATTTTCTTCAAGATGTCTGTGCAAAGTGGACCAGACTGTGTCCGATCTAGATGGCAAATTAATCAACAGATTGTGGGGCTGCAGAATTTTTTTAAAGAATAAATTGTAGGGGAATGCCAATGCTTTAGAATGTAGGAAAATCAACATTTATTAATGAGTCTTGGTGGTCCTTGGAAAGCCATCAGTTTCATAGTCTCCTTTAATAATTTCAAATTCCATTATTTGCTGAAATGCATGGCCATTCTTAAACTAAAATTTACCTCTGCATTTAACCCATTCCCTTGGGGAGCAGTAGGCTGCCATTGTAGGGGGTTAAGGGTTTTACTCAAAGCACAAGCGTACTGCTCTAACCACTAGGCCAACACTCCCCTCTATTTATGTGTAATCTGGTAATGATTTCAGTAGTTCTTTACCAAAAACAAAAAATCTTGTATGTTCGTTTTTAATCACCACATTAAATCCATGGTAATTGAAACATGTTGAATTTCATTTGAAGTAAAGTTTTAAAACGCAGTTTAAAAAAATAGGTACATTGTAAATAAAAATAAAAACTATAAAGGAGGTAAATAGTAAATAAAACGTACGGTTGTATAAGCAGAAGGATTTGAGGGATGCACCAGGATGTGAAGATATTCTGAAGTTACAGGTAAAATGACTGAAAGGCAGTATTGTGTGTGCGTCTTCATTTAATAGTAAAAAGTATATATATATATATATATATATA